TGGATGGCGCGTGGTTCATGATTATAATAAGCTGAACACGGCCACCATTCCGGCGCAAACGCCGATCCAGCGGAAAGATGTTTTGTTGAATTCCATGGGAAAGTCAACTATCTTTTCCGCGTTGGATCTGAAGGATGGCTACTATATAGTTCTCATGAGAGATACTGATGTAGCCAAAACGGCACTAAGCACTTCAAGCGGTTTGCTGTGGGAGTGGCTTGTGATTACACATGGGTTGCAACATGCTCCAGCAACTTTCAACCGAGTGGCGGCTCACGTGATGCGTCAGCACCGTGCCTACGCGCCCCATTACTTTGACGATGTATTCGTGCATAGTAGGGCGGAAGAGGGTTTGAGCGCGATAGAGTCGCACAAGCATCATTTAGAAGCTGTGTTGCAGACTCTGGGTGACGCCCAATTATACGTGAACTTGCAAAAGTGCGTAATAAGGGTCCCCGAGATACCTGTGCTGGGCTGCATTGTTGTTGCACACGGTGTTCGAGCAGACCCAGAAAAGGTAAAGGCTATCAAGGAATGGCCAGTCCCACGTCATGTGAAGGATCTGCGCCAATTCCTTGGGCTCACTAATTACTTGCATAAGTACAGCAAGAATTATGCGGAGCAGACTAAGCCATTGTCTACCCTTTTAAAAAAGGATACAGAATGGACGTGGTCAAAGGAGCAAGTTGATGCGTTCACTTCAGTGCAGCAAATCTTGAGAAGCACCGGTCTTGGCATTGCCAGGCGCGGATAAGATCTTTAGCGTCGTCTGCGATGCAAGCAATTTTGCAATCGGCAGCTCGCTCATGCAGAAGGATGACAACGGCGTTGACACCGTGTCATTTATTATCAGTCTCGGCTTTTAAAAGCTGCCGAGCTGAATTACCCTGTGCATGACAAGGAGCTACTTTCAATTAAGTATGCCCTTGTGAAGTTTCGGGTGCACTTCTTGGGCACCGAGCCTTTTGTGGATTTATAAGGATCACGCATCACTGCGGACCGCTATAAATTCACCGCACCTCTCGCCTAGGATGGCGAGATGGCTAACATTCTTCTCTGAATTTACTTTCAAAGTTGAATATAAGCCGGGTAAGTCGAATGTCTTGGCTGACGCGGTATAGACTTCGAGGCAAGACACCAGGAAAGTGTGTCTCGTGCGAAAGCACAAGTTGATTCGTCAACATTGGCAGCCATGAAGGCGTACCATGTGACGAGCTCAATGGCCTCCGATATCAAGGAGTGTTACAGTCAGGACGAACATTGTCGCCTGCTGTTGGATCATTTTGGTGGACGAAAGGTTACCCTTCCGTCGCACCTCAAAGCGAAACTAAATCGCTTTAGTTACAGTGATGGCCTGTTATGGCATCAACTGTCACCCTGTGATCCCTTGAGAATCTATGTCCCTCATGACACAGATCTCAAGCTGATGATACTCCACGAGTGCCATGATGCGCCATCTAGTGGGCATCTGGGCCGTGAAAAGACATTCTTACGAGTGTCAGAGGAATTTTGGTGGCCCCACCTATATCGGTGGGTGGCCAACTATATTCGCTCTTGTGAAGAGTGTCAGCGCATAAAGCCTGCACCTTCAAACAGTGCGCCACTGAAGCCACTGCCGATTCCAACTGAATGTTGGAAGTCGGTCAGTTTGGACTTTATGTTTGGCTTACCGCCTGACCATAAAGGCAGGACGGGAATCGTCGTCTTTGTAGACAGACTGAGCAAGATGGTGCATTTGGCACCATGTAGCACCAAGATCTCAGGAAAAGAGGCTGCCCTCTTGTTTCTGTATCATGTGTATCGGCTACACGGGATGCCCGAGTCCATAGTATCGGACCGGGATCCGCGTTTTACGTCGGGTTTTTGGCGACATGTGTTCGAGCTGCTGGGTAGCAAGCTCCACATGTCAACCGCTGATCATCCCCAGACCGATGGCCAAACCGAACGGGCCAATCGGGTCGTGGCGGATGTGTTGCGTACAATAGCGACTCCTAAAGAATGGAGAAAGCAATTGCCATTCGTGGAGTTTGCTATTAATAACAGTGTTCACGCCAGTATGGGTGAAACACCGTTTTACATTAACGGACTGAGTCATCCTCGAACGCCAGTCTTGTTTGTATGCAGCCCGAGTCTTAGTGGGGGAGGGCCCTCACTTCGCTCGGTGCGAATGCCAAAAAGGACCAAGGTTGCCCTAGTGACACTGCTACTTTAGCAGTGGTCACGACACCTACAGGTGTCACAAAGGAGGCACGGCAAGAAATGCCAGTGCTCCTTGACGATGACACTATAGTGTTATCAACAGCGTCGACCCATGAACGACCTCTTGGAGGCGTCATAGGCGAGCTGGATGCTAAAAGCGTGAGCGAAGCTCAGCGCTTTGTGGATGAGCGATTAGCCATCACACATAAAGTCCGTGACGCGATGGCAAGCGCACAGGACAAGCAAAAACAATATTGCGGACCAAAATGGTCGCAAAAACAATGAACACTTTAGTGTTGGGGACAAAGTGCTATTAAGTACTGCTACCCTACCTAAACATGCAATTTCTGTACTACCTGGTGGTACTACTAAGCTATTGCCCCGATTCATTGGGCCCTTTACAGTGGTTGAAGAAGTTGGAGACCTAAATTATAGGCTCACTCTCCCACCGTATATGAAGACGCACCCCGTATTTTACGTGGGTCGTCTGAAACGGTATGTTGATCCAGAAGAGATCACATATCCACATCGGTCTAACGAGATCGATGGTGACGCCGACTGTGAGTCGAGCGTCGCGACCGATCAGGCGACGAGGAAGCCGAAAGGCTCCCCGTGTATGAACGAGGCGATAGAGGACTCGGTGATCGAGGAGGACTCCGCGCTTGACGCGGGTCTCTCATCACCAGTCGCACTAAAATGTCCAAGCGGGTCTTCAGGCGGTCATACCCCTGACGGTCTCACGCCCTCACATCACGCAGATCCGAGGTCAGTCGCGAGACTTGACTCTCGAGATCTGTCACCTGCCTCTTCAGCGCAGCAGACTCAGCCTGCGACTGAACAGCAGCAGGATAGGCAGCCGCGAGTAGGTGGGCGTAATCGCCGCTCCTATCGGGCGCCACCTGTGCTGGTGGACACGGAAGGGAATACGCGCTTCCTTGTTGGAAGGCTGTTGGCCCACTGGTTTGTGAAGCGAAAGCTCCAAATCCTTGTCCAGTGGAATGGTTACCCAACGAGCTTTGGCTCGTGGGAGCCTGTGGACGCTTTGCGCGTTGACGTGCCTGGGCTGGTGGCTGCTTATGTGAAGCAGCACCAGCTGTCTTCTTTCTGCTAGGTCCGGAAGGACTAGCAGAAGAAGCGTGGCGAGAATCAATTGGGGGTCGCTTACCGCCCATAATTTCATGCGCACGCTTCATGGCGAAGCTGATTCGCTGCGAACGCTGTTTCGTTGCATCTTCATGCAAGGTAACACGGCGCCGAAGTTCAGCTTCATATTCGTCGGCTGTTTCGTTAGAACGCAGCACGACTGGAATTGGGAAAGCACGACCAAGTGTTTTGCCCTGCTTTTCCACAAGGGAAAGACGCTTAAAATCTATGAGCGTCTATAGTGCCACGCTGAAAAAGCGCTGCGCAAGACCCATCCGAGTTCATCCACTCAGATGGAGGTGGCATTGGTGGCAAGCCACCACTCACGTAGCCGCTCTCGCGACGGCGGGCTAGTGAGGCCGAAGGTGTACTTGGTGGAGCTTCAAGCTCACACTCACCTGAGTCTGACTCTCCATTATGGATTGTCAAGACATCAGCATGAGGAGTCACATCTGACTGAGTTGCGACTACTTTTTTCGAAGTTGTGTGCTCAGTCTTAGTCGCTGCGCTCGTAGGCGCAGGCAACGAGGCTTTACCTTCGCTTGCAGGAAGCATAAAAGCTTTCTCAAGGACGGGTGCCTCAAATGATTGGGACATATGTCTCATTAATGCGCTTTGCTCATCTCCACTTTGGGGTGATGGCAATGGCGTAGTCTAATTGAAATCTACAATGAGAGATGGATCTTCATCCACATTATCGTGAGATGGAAGATTCACCCCAGTGCCTGACGCACTTTGCGACGGCTGCGATAAATCGCGGCGCGTGCGCTTAGTGCTGGACTGCATGGGTGCCTTTGCAGGCGACCCATCGGCCTTACCACGTTTCGTTGGCATGAGTACTGAGCAGACTAAAGCGGCGCGTGTATAACGGCTCGCAAGTCTCTCTGTCTCTTAGGTGATGCTTTACAAAATGTAAACATCGTTCTAAAACGGGGGATGGTGTAACAGGGCATCGAGTTACACGTAAACATTAAGTAATATACTTAATGTTTGGTCTAAAAGTATCCATGATTACTTTTGACCAGTCACTTGGGTGCGATACACAAATGTGATCCACCCTCGTGAATGTGATATTCATTTATGGATTCACATAAGAAGGGATGACGCTAGTTGAAGCTAGGCATCGCGACGTCTCAGAAGGACGTCAGTTGCGATCTTAAATCTCTAGATTTAAGATCATGCGACAGGATACGCTTCTAAAGAGTCGCGTATCCGATCTATATATATATATATATATAGCCAATCAGTAGTTAAGTATATATTTAGTTATAATTAATTAAATATAGCTCAGTCTTGAATTTACTTAAACAAACGCACCACGCACGAGAAGCCGAAAGACTTCTGCGTGACGTCCGTGCTTTAGTGTTAAGAAGTTCGTTGCACTCTCGCTTGAGTGAGAGGCAACTGGTGGTACGACTGCTTAAGCAGTCGACCAACCTCCCAACCACCCTCGCACGCGAAGGTAAGACAGTATAACCGCTTCCTCGCTTGTGCATAAGGTGTGTGCTCGTAGTACGAGGCAACTTCGTAGAAGTGCCCGTCTACACAACACGTTGGCACGACCTCATGCCATTGCGTCCTTTGTCAAAAATCACGCCAAACTAATAATTAAAAAAGGTGCAGAGCAAAATGAAGATAAGGTGGTGCTAGTGGTGTTGATGCTACTGAATTATATGGACACGTGGTTTGCTGCTGGAGCGGCCGTGGCTCGCGCAGTTCCACTTTATAAACACACTTTATACAGAAAAAATGCTCTGCCAATGACAGCAGAAAATTGATTCGGATAAGCTCGAGGTGGTGTATCAGACCCCATTGGCATGGGAGGAGACGACACTCTTGCAACATACAGCCAATGCCATTCAATTGGCGACGAGACTTGTAGACGCTCCACCTAATGAACTGCACTCGGATGCATTCATTGCTGAAGCTCGTGCAGTGGCAGAAAGGACCAAGGCTGCGATCGTGGTTATTCAGGGTGAAACACTTCATGAACAGGGATTCAGTGGCATATACGGAGTCGGAAAAGCTGCGACTCATAAACCAGTGCTGGTGTGTTTGAGTCACGTACCGGAAGGAGCTGAGGGTGCGAAAGGGGTGGCGATGGTTTGAAGCAGCGTGTCACGCAAAGAATACGACAGATAAGACTCCGTTGCATGTGGTACTATGTGTGGCTGAGAACTCAGTGGGACTGGACTCGATGCGTGTAGATGATGTACTGGCGATGTACTCGGGCAAAACGGTGGAGGTAAACAACACGGACGCCGAGGGAAGTCTTGTGCTTGCTGATGGCGTGGCGTATGCTGTCAAGCACCTAAATCCAAAGGTGATCGTGGATATGGCCACGTTGATGGGAGCACGGAGCATTGCTACAGGTAACCGTATCGGTGCTGTCTACACAAATGACGGTAGTCTGGAGGAACTGGCTGTTAAGGCGGGTAAAGTATCTGGCGACTTGGTGCACTCCATGCCGTATGCGCCGGAGTTTCACCGCCTCGGGTTCACGAGCAACATAGCCAACATGAAGAACTCGGTGAAAAACCGTGCTAACGCGCAGGTGTCGTGCGTCGGGCAGTTCATCGCAAACCATTTGGGAGACTTCGAGCATACGGGCAAGTGGCTGCACGTCGACATGGCATTTCCAGTGTTCACAAGTGATGACGAGCGATCAACAGGCTTTGGTGTGGCGTTTATCCAGTCGCTGCTCAAGGAGATTGACAATGCAGGCTGGTAAGCAGAGTGAGATTGTGGCTGAAAGAAAATATGAGGATTGCCATTACATTGTTGTCTTTTGTCTATCATTGAATGGATTTCAGTTCACCTGCAAGATGTTTTTTATTGAGCAATGAAGCGAAAGCCCTCTTGTATTTTTACTTCGAAGTATGTTCCTATCAGGGTATCATAGTATAAACTTTGGCTGTAGAATGTTTCATTCGGGGTGATGCCAGCGGGTGTATTGATCTGATGATTGATGGCTGCATCTTTTCACAGTTTACTAGAACGCCCATACCGACTGTGAGCGAAAAAGTAGGGCTCAATCAGTCTGCATGTTTACCTTGTTTCCGCGAAGGAAGACGAAGCAGCTGCAGCAGCATCAGTAGGTCATTGCTGTCGCTGCTACAGCGACTATTGGCAAAAATGTAGACTGCCGGCAAAACAACGTTCTTTTCGATCGTTGTGGCGCAAACGCCGTCCAGTGTCCTGCACAACGTTTTCGTTATGTGCACTTACAAAAAACATTTTTATCAAAGCTATTAAAGGTTACCGATTAAAATATTCTTTATCGTTTACTGGGTAGCTGAAATTAAGTCGATCACGCGTATGATGAAGAGTCGCATAGGATTAGGAAACGTTTGACATGCTATATATGTGAGTTACATGTAGATCATGTAGTAGGCAAAATTGAGCTACGATAAATGAATCACTTCCAAATATTCTCTCTTCTGCTCAAGTCGTTCAATCTTCACTCAAGTGCAGACTTACTTCGATTTCTAAGCTTTTCTTCTCGTCGTTTCACTCAAGATTTCATTTCCTATCAGGTTATGAGCCCAAGTACCATGTCCTCTGGCCAAGACTCGACGACCAAGGTCTCCACTGACATATTCAATGGGTACAACTATTCGACATGGAACCGCTACATGCGTGGCGCGTTCATGACCAAGTCAACGTGGCACGTGGTTAGCCGGGAAACCACCCATACCTTCACGTACCCTCGTATGTCCGATGAGTACGTCAGGACAAGCAACATCGCTTTTGGCCTGATGTTACTGCACATGGATGCAGACTACCACCACGTGGTCGACAATTGCGAGGAAGCGTGGGTAGCATGGGCCCGGTAAAAGACACTTAACAGCGGATCGCAGAAGGCTGGACGCATATATTTATAGCGCCAGCTCTTCAGCATGGAGATGGTGGAAGGCGCCAACGTATTAAATCACTGCAATGAAGTCATGAACATCAGGGCCAAGCTTCGCAGCATCGGGGCCAAGATGGAAGACGAAGATGTGGCAATCTGCTTGTCGCGCAGTCTCCTAAAAGGCTACGAGAATTTAGTGCTAAATCTGGAGATGATCAGTGCGGAATTGCGTACGCAAGACGTTGTGAAGGTGCTCATGAATGAGCATCAAGAGGAAAGGTGAGAAGACGGCATCGGTGAAAGTCAAATAAACAAGTAAAGCTTTTAGCACCGAATATGAGTCTCGCCATTGTACCTTTCGCGGAAAACTGGGGCACACGGTGAAGTGGTGCTGGACTAAGCAAAAGGAGAAAAATCGAGGAGCTCAACACGGTGTGAATGCTCGTGGACGCGAAGCCAGCCAAGTCCAGTGGAAGGGCTATAAAATAACTATGAACACGATCGAGTGGTGTTTTGCTGCGTCACTGGAGTGTGGGCTATCGACAGGTAAATGAATGCCTGGATAGTGGTCAATTGACAGTGGTGCCACGCACCATATATGCCATGACAAGCCAGATTCAGAGATCGCAGATGGAAATAAGGCAGAAATTAAGGGTATCGGAACCATCGTTAAATATGTGGTCTTACCTAAAGGTGACGAACGTGAATTAGAGATTAATAATGCGCTCTTCGTATCAAGTATGAACAAGAATCTGCTGTCAATTTCGCAAATTAACAAGAGCGGAAAGGTTCAAGTCATGTTTAAAGGATTTAAGATGCACGTTTTTTTGGTACATTACAGTTATTTTAATATACCTAGCGACCCGAAAATTTCCGTCCGACTAAGGCCTACACATCCCTCGTCGCTTTGATAGCTACGTATTTCTACGTGCCACCACATGCACACCACTGCGAGGTGCCTTATTACTATCCAACACCACCGTGCACCTTGCGCTGTCCATTTCATTTGGAGCCAGACCTAAGTCCCCTCGTAATGCCTCCTTGACGCTTGCCCACCGTGAGGGAAGCCTCTCCATGTCGCTTGTCAGAGTTGTGTGCTCTTCCTCGAGTCCATCGCTATGTTATCCAGAGCATCCGCCATTTTATTGAAATGACGAAGATGATGTCGCCAAGTGGACACGTTTAGCCGATCAGCGATCCTCCTGCATTGTCGGTATAGGTCTTGCAAATGCCGTGCTTTCGGCTCCTTTCTTCTCCTCAACTGCCCCAAAACGAGGCTACTGTCGCCAACGACGTGAAGTCCATTTAGGTTGTAACCTTGAGCTTTCCTGAGACGAAACAGAAGGCCCCTGTACTCAGCCACATTGTTGGTCGTGTAAGGGGCGGCGAGGGAGACGCTGCTCATCCATAGGATAAACGACGGTTTTGTGGCCTTTCCGTTTACAACAAATATAGAGCCGGCGCCCTCGGGGCCCGAATTACCTCATGCACCCCGTCAAAGAAGAGTATCGTGTTCTCGCGATCACTTCTCCAATGGAGCTCCTGTATTACGATCCCCGAAGTGGCAGCAAAAGCCGCATGTACAACTCATGCCGCACGACAGACCGCCTCATCTTGTGTTCTCGTCAGTACTTTTTCTCGTAGCGCTAGCCTCCCATGATGTACCCGGCCTCGTAGTAGCGCTGTCGATCGATTTAACGAGTTTCTCAGAGTCACGTCCCTGCATCTGCATCTGCGGTTCCAGACCACCTGGAGCGTGTGTAGTACTCCTAGCCGCCACTACTCGTTTAAAGTGTCATAGCACCATCCATATATCTCCTCCTGCTGTGCCTCTGTCAGGTTTCCGCAAAGTTGATGTAGTACCTTCCAATCCCGGTTGGCACCATTGGCAATTTAAAACCAAAATTAGGACGAGGATCGTTAGCCTTCAATTGCAAACCAAGTTCTGCCCACTTCCTCAGAAACTCTCTCCAAAGTGGCCGCGTTGCTCGACATTCCCACCAGATATGCGACTTGTTGATGCCGAATTCTCGACACTCCGGCAATGGACAGCCAACGACCGTTGGACGGAATACCAGGTTGTAACGGGGTTACACGACGGTTGTAGCGTCTTTCCGAGAGTTTACGGTTAAACTCCCCTTTGTATTGCATATAATGCATTATGATACTTCTCTTAAGAGAGGTATTAAGTATAAACGTGAAAGATACGGTATTCGGTAATACCGTATCTTATCGATTAGGATTCGATAAAACAATAATGCTGTACTAAGTACATCATACACAGATGTTTAGACGATACGTCGTTCAATAGCAAAGTCTGCATATAATAATTACTATTATCGTAATTAATCTACTTAGAGTAGCACTATTCATAAAATCTTAAAGCATAAATAAAATCAGTACTCATTTTGAGTTTAAGATCGCAAGTCGCTCTGACTTGATCTCTTGTGCACTTCGTGCGTTGGTTCTCTGAACCTCTACGCTTCTAGCTTGTTCTTGCACTCTATGCGTTGGTCTCTGAGCCTTAAGCTTATTGCTTGACTGACTAAAAGTCTCTTTCCTCGTTCCGTAGAACAGGGTGCTTTAAGTCGTTTAATTAGTTCCTTAGAACTAAGTGGCTTTTTGCCTTAACTCTATTTAGTTCTCTAGAACTAAGAGGCTTCCAGCCGAAAGTCTTCCTCTGGCTAAAGAGCTGTGCAGCTCCGCTACACTTGTTAGCACTAGTAGTCAATCCTACACCTAAGTCTTTCAAGACTGACCCTCTGTGAGGATGGAGAATCAAAATCACCTCTCTGAGGCACAACGACTCGCCTTAGATAAATTATCTGCGTTCGTCGGGCCCGATCAAATCGAGGCCCTTTTGGCCCAAGGCCCCAAGTTCTAAATGCTCGTCTTGAGGCCTTTATGCGCTATGAGGCAACGCTCCTCGGGCAGGTCCATGACCAGGCAGCGTCAGCTGCGCCTATACAGTACATTCCAGTACCTGTGCCCGATGCAGAGCCAAAGGCTCGCCCACTTGTTTTAAACGTAAAGACCTTCGAGGGGAAGGAGGAAGAAAATCTTCTCCTCTGGATCCGAGAAGTTGAAATGGCAATGGATGCCGCCATGCTTGTATCCGATAAGCAATGAGTTGGCCTGTCCATATATAAGCTCTGTGGAAGATCTATAGAGTGGGATCTAACGAGCGATGTCTCTGTAAATGCTGCATTCCCCACATGGGAAATGCTAAAAAAGCAATCAACTTGCGTGTTTGCACCGCCTAATCAGGCTTATCGCGTGCTCTTACGCTTCTTAGCTACCCGACAGGGTAAGAAAGAATTGTCGGACTATGTCCAAGAGTTACGAACTCTCATTGCTGCTATGCAGCAGGACCCTCTGGCAGAGGAAGTCCGAGTAATCATTTTTTATGGAAGGACTTCGTATTGGGGTCGCCAGGACGAAAGTTTTCCGTGTCCAGCCTTCGACTTTCATAGAGGCAGTAAGCGGCTAAATTTAATTTTAAAACTGCTCGATATGGTCTGCCATGGTATAATCCAAATGCCTCTAACAGGGCGGAACCCATGGACCTCAGCCATGCTGAAGAAGCTGAGCTTCAAGCTGCAGAGCAGCAAAATAAAATCCGTAGATGTTACATGTGCGGAAGCACTAGGCACCTCCGCCCTAGCTGTCCGCTGCAAAAGCAACGTTCAAATCGGCAAAGCCGAAACCCTGCTCCTAGCCAAAAGGCGAGCACCGCAGGGGAAAACGTCAGCTCCCAGTAGGTGCGGGGCGCCCTAATGGGAAAAAACTTAGTTCTGTTGGATCTTTAGGAGGTAAAGGTAAACAGGGCTTAGCCCCAGGTGGTTCTGTGGATGCTTCCATAGAACAAAATTACAAGC